AAGTCTATTCATAGGATTTGTAATAACAAGGCATTATAAAATACTCCAAACGTATAAAGTGCAAAAAACAAAAATTATATTGAGTTAGTGAGAGTACGTGTTTCTCAGTGGGTCGTATGAGATTCCGAGGGAGTCGTTGAATCAAATCAAAAACAGTGTGCTAACGTCATTGTGCAAATCGAAAGAGCAGTGGATTCACATTGTACCGGCCCTATACAACCCAGTGAGAAAATAATTCAATATATAACCAGTAAATATTTAGTACAAATGTGTGTTCTGTTGGCCCGGCGTACGAACGGATCGCTTAAGGAATTCTACACAGAGGGAAAAGTCTGGTATTGCTTCATGGAGGGGAATCTCAATGAATTCATATAAACTGGAAATGGCATTGCTACGGACACAGCATATGTAAAGTTCAATCTCAGAAAGGTTTGTCTAGTGTGAAGGTGTAGTATCATTAGTGTGTGGCGTTAGGATTTTTATAATTTGGCTAGAAACACAGTCATATCTGTCTTTGAACTCAAATTTAAGTCAGGAGTGTGCCATAAAAATAGATGTTACATGGAGCCTCCTCATTCACGAGGCTAAATAAGGCAAAAAAAAGATTAAAAATTTACATTGGCAAATTATTCTCCAATAGTTCTGCGAAACTTGTGCGTTCTTTATGGATAATATCACGAGAAAATACAGCTGTAATAAGCAGGAGAAGGTGGATCGGTTATTAGATTATTTTTGGGAAAATTTAGTTGCGTCTTCGTTCTGAATATAAAACCCACTAAACATCAAGCCAATTTGATGTTAACAATAAATAATAATGTGATAAAAGTCACAGTAAATTTCTGGAATGCATTTGTTTCGGGACATGTATATTTTTAATTTCATCAAGCCAATGTTTGTGTTATAATTGGCTATAATTCTGCAGCTGGACAACTAAAGTGTCTATCTATCTATTAATCCATCTAATCCTGGGTCCAACTGCATAATTTGCTCTCCCCCCATATTTTTAAGAGTTAAAATCACTTAAAGCAAGTTTTGAAATTACACAAATGGTTAAAAAAAAATCTACTACTTTATAGAAGTACGCTCCAGTCAGTGAAAAACGTGAATGATTCAAGGCGGGGCACAGTTCTGAAGATGCAGCCGTAACACGGGAATACATCTGACTTGGGTTTCTAAAGAACCACAAAAACACATCAAATGCTCCAAAACTCTGAACAAGTGGCAGTGTTCGAACTGTTTGATTCTCTGATCTGTTATTCACAGATCAGAGAATCAAACAGTTTGAGACAACTGCTGTGGTGATTTTATCAACAAATACATTGAATTGAATTGAAGTTTAATGAGATACATTCTTCTAAAAAGTCTATTCTGTTTCAGTTTCAAATAATCATATCATTGTGAGGTCAATTTTAGTTTAGCCCTGACTAATTAACAGCTAATTAGTGTATAATTGATGGTTGATTAGCTCTTAATTAGTATTTATAAAGCATTTATCAGTCCTCATTCTGCATCTAACTAACTCCTAACTGACACATTAAGAAATAGCCAGGCAGTCCTTCTCATCCAGTTTTTAATTTGCTTCAGTTTTTTAAAATCCACTTCAAGTTCCTCTTTCCCATGTGGGTTAGGGTACACGAATTACCATTTAATTAGCTGTTAAATAGTACAGACTTATTTGACTGAAATCTGAACTGTGTCCCAGGCCTTTCAGAACTTGCTTGTAAACTGCAGTACTAATAACTGTGATAAGTGCATACAGGTGCATACAGAGCTGGTACTTTTGTCCCTCTCAAAGCACCTACGAATGAAGCAGTACCAGACGTGTGTGTCTCAGTAGAACGCCGCCCTCCGTGTTGCCGGGCGGGGGTTCTAAGGCCGCTCTCGGGGAGATTTGGCACAGTTTGTGGCGAGGACAGGAATGTTCAAGTAGACGGTACATTCTGGAGAGTGTGCGAGAGAGAGAGAGAGAGAGCGCGGACATCAGGAGGCGCCTTTGCTCTGGAGCCTGGACAGCAGCATCTCGTTCTTACGGCATTCCTGTGGGACACGGAAGAGGGATCAGAGCCATCAGAGCCATATGGAAATAAGATTCTTTATTCAGACTGTACAATAAGTCCCTTTAAGTCACTAATGCACTAGGACAGAAAAAGACTTGTACTTCTATAGCCACTGTTTCTTTGATTGTACATAATTATATCCTTCACACACTATATTTTTAGCCTACAACATGTTTGCACACTTCTGTCTTTTGCACAAATCTGAGTGATTCTATCTATGCCAAAGTAACATGTACATTTCTAGTCTTGAACGTTTCTCAGTCAAAATGTTACAAAGTTCCACATCAGCTTTGTCTCTACAAATGTGGTCTAATTATATACCTCATAAAAAGGTGGCTAGAAGTGGTAACAATATACAAAAACATAGGCACAATGTTATACAGACAAAAGAATAATATGGCAAGTTTGTGAATCTAATCACTATCAAACAATGATCTAATATCCCATTGAGTTGTATTAACACCTGCCCTCCAACTGAGGGCAAACTTATAGGCTCAAGTTTTAATTTTGCTTCTAAGAATGACCTACATTCCCATCTCCAAAAGTGACCAATTTCACTGAATCAGACTCATATCTAAAGAAGGCATTGGTACTCCTTTTCTATCGTTACAGTCACCCCCTCCCTCTCACTCCTCACCTCTCCCTCCTCACCTCTCATCTCCTTTCTACCTCTTGATCAATAAAATCCGAGTTTTGGAAAGTAAACAAATTATTTCTCAAAGTTTTACAGTAAAAGTCCAAATATAGTGCACAATCATGACTCATGTTTCTGTATTTTCGCAAACAGATATTAAGTGCCTTTGATACAATTTTTTACTAATTGTAGGTCAAATAAATGTATGGTCAAAAAGTAAGGTCTTTCATGCGCGCCTTTACAGATATAAGGATTAATAATGATATATTGGTTCTGACATATCTGTGTTAGATGAATATGGAATTTGAACAGCCATTCACACCCATGATGTAACAGGACTTTTTCCAGGGCTGTCATTACTGTATATTAGGAGAAGGTACACAAGAACTGTTGATTATGAGAGTCTTGAAGGTTTTCTCATGTTTAATCCTATTTCAAAGTGAAAAGACGACGGGAAAGACGTCTCCCACTCACCTCTTTGAAATCCTTGACCGTTTTGAAGTACAGGCGCTGTTTGTCCAGCAGCTCCAGGTACTCATCGTTCAGCTGGTCTCTCCTCATCTTGTTCTCCTGCTTCTTCTTCTCCATCTGAGACACACACACACACACACACACACACACAGAAGGTTATTGCTGTTAATACGTATTTCTTTGACTTCTTAAATCAAACTAAAGATGGAAATATTGGTTTATGGTCATTTTACTACATGACCGTGTTGTTAACATTGTATGTGACAAATAAATATCTATCATCTATCTATCTATCATACTATATAGGACCAAGACATAGGCTTTTAGACAGAGTGGGTGGAGTTACATGTTTGGGCCAAAAGTTCCTAAAAAATTAAAGTGGATGGATCTAAAAACCAACTCCAGGTCCGGTTTTGAGGAGGGAACAAAGTGGTTAAGAGCTCAAATTACTATTCACTTTAAAACCTGATGCCAACCTTTATTCTACTCTGCTTGATGCCCTCCACGATCTGCTCCATCTGCCTCAAGAACTGCTCCTTAGCTCCAGCTGAGGACATGGCTCTGAAAAAAAAACAAAAATCACAAAAGTCCAGGTAAAAAGCTAAAACAGTGTGAAAATGGAACGTAGTGGTCGGAGCGCTCACTGCTGGAAGTTGTCGTGGATGGAGTTGAGCAGGTTGGACTCCTTCTCCAGGTACAGCTTCTTGTCGTCCAGTGTGTTGTACAAAGTGAAGAACTGCTTGGTCTCCTTGTGAGTGGCGGAAACTGGACACAAGCAAAGAAAAAACATGTTTATAACGGACAAAATCTAACGAACGAGGGATTAAAGCCATGTTTTCCGGCATAGTTCTATCACTGTGCATGTGGAGTCTCAATGAACTCCAAGTACTTTTCCAAGTAGTCGATAAAAATCAGTTTTTCCCCCCTGTTCTGTTACTAATTATACAGGATTTTAGCTTTCCGAGAAACAGGAAGTGGGCTACTGATCCATCGTCAGATTATTGTTAGTGGACCGTGACTGACGAACGGCACTCTGAGCTCTGAAAGTTGTAAAACGTCTTGAGAATAATAGTGTGAATGGTTACTATATGTTATTCAAACTATCTAAAAGATGTAAAAACAGTTTATACTAAATATATGTGAAAGGAACGTAGAAGATTATTGTAAGAATAAATGATAGCTCTGAAATCAAAACACATACATTTAGTCAGTGTAAATAAATAATTACAAATGTGTTCAATGTGTCTATATCCCACCTATTCCTTATTAATTATTTACTGCAAGAAGTGTTTTTCACAGTTTCATATAGCGCTTTTTTGGACTCTCAAAGACACTCTACATGACAATATTCATTCACTCCATACACGGTGGTAATAAACTACTACTGTAGCCACAGCTGCCCTGGGGCACACTGACAGAGACGAGGCAACCAGTTTGTGTCATCGGACTCTCCGACCACCACCAACCAGTCACACACACACCAGACTCTTTCTAGGCAATGGGGGTGAAGTGTCTTGCCTAAGGACACAACAGCAGTTTGGCACTTTACAGCCGCAGCCGCCCCACTGTGGCACAACGACAGCAGACATCAGTGGGAGTCGGTGGAGAAAGTCTCGAACCCACGACCTTCTGGCTCAAAGGCCAATGCTCTGTCGCCTTTACACCAGATAGTCAGAATACGTGTGTGTGTATTTATGTGTATATGTGTGTATTTGTGAGTGTGACCTTGGCTGTATAGCTCGATGAACCTCTTCTGGTACTGGGTGAGTTCTGCTCGACTGGGAACCTCGTCGATTTTCCTCTGCAGAATGGCGATCTCTCTGTTCCTGCGAGCCTGAGGATGACGGGAGAAGACAAACCATGACTTTTACCACAGATTGGACTCAGTTAGTCAGTTATTGTAAATATGCTTATGGTTTCCCGCCTTTTTATTATTTCATTTTATGCTTTTACTTCGGAATTGCACAAATTTCCTAACAGCCATGGGACATCGGCTGATAACTTAATACAGTAAATGGTGGTCTAAGTGTAAGTAGTAGTATTATCACAAACAAGCAAACAGGTATTTGTGGTTTGGAGATTAAAAAGGGGACTATCCTTACTAAAAACTATTTTTTATCTGATAAAACACATTAAAAACATGTGTTGCACCTTTGCAATGTGTTTTTGTGTTATAGATAAGTAATAAATTATAACTTTTTAATATCAACGTCTCTGATTGGCCAGAAAAACGATGACGTACTTGTAGGGGTCGCAGCTCCCGCTTTACTGTTTATGGCATTGCTCCTGCTGCCGCTTTGACACAAATAAACCTTAAAATGGGTGTATTTTGTATGGCCCTGGGATGCAGCAATGAAAGTTACCAAAAGAAGCGTGTAAACAGCAGTCCCTACCATCTTTGACTTATTCAGAGAAGGCGACGGTCCAAACAAACTGAGAAAAGACACCAGCGCCAGTTCCATAAAATTACTTCTATCAAGCTCCAAGAGTTTAATTTAACACAAAAAAGACCACAATATACCAACAAAAAAGGATTAGGTCCCTTTGAAATTTGATACATGCAAAAGTGTGACTGGCGTATTTTACTTCCATCACAAAAGATAAAACCTTTTTTTCTCCACAAACTATTATTGTTGCTTTGTAATAAACACAGTAGACAAGATATGGTTATATCCAATCAGAAACAGAGGCAAAAAAAAATCACAATTTCCTGAGCTGTGCCAAAAATCAAAACATCAAGAGAATGCTATCTTTTAACCTCCTCGACTTGCACAGTTCAAACAGTTTGACTACAGGAATAGTTTTGTGTCATACCAATTATTTTGTTTTGGTTTCAAGTGAACTATTCATCTAAATAAAATGAGTCAGTATGGGAGGAAAGAACATGTACTGTATTAATGATGCTTACGAAGGTTCATCTAGTCTTCATGGTAGAAAAAAAAGTAATTTACCGATGTTATTACCGTGACACACATAACATATGGTAATAACATCGCTAACTTACTGATGACTGACTGGTATAGAAGAACCAAAGAATTGTATGTATTAATCTTTTTCCCAGATTGACCCGTCCTGAACTACTGTAAAAAGGCCAAACTTCTCCCATGCAAAGGAAGTGCAGTGATTCACAAGTCTCAGAGCACATTGTGTATGTAGTAACAATATGAGCCATGCCAGGAGTCCTGTCTTTATCTAATCTAAGAGTGTGTCAGGACATTATTTTACCATGAGCAGACGGATCTTCTGCAGCTTCTCTCTCTCCGCTGTGTACTGTCTGTCTATCAGCTGGTTCCTCTCCTGTGCAGAAACATAAGGTAAACGTGTGAAATTAAACGACTGAATGATTACAAGTGTGAGTACAACAGTATGACCCAACCTTCTCTTCCTCATTGTCCTGACCAGATTCTGTTTTTAACTTGTCGATGTCCTCTTGCAGACGAGCCATCTCCTCCTGCACAGTGCACACACAGGATGAAGAAGAATAACACATAAATGAAAAGCATAAAACAGTGTGACAGATTATATGAATAACACATTATTACTAGATTACTTAACAACTATTTAAATAATCGATTAAATAGTTACATTTATTTATTAGACAGGGACAATATAGGCATATATAGTCACAGCATGAAAGATGCAACTGATGCGACACATACAGAGTGTGTAGCTAATGCTTATGTTTAACTCCTGTCCCTGGTTGAGCTTTTCCCTACAGCACATTGTACAGAATAATTATGATAGACAGCCCTAAAACACATATCTACAGCAGAGATCTAAGGTAAAGACATTCCCACCAATGTAAATATACACAGTCACAGTCACACAGTCATACACACACACACAGAAAAATACAGCCATACCATCAATGTCAGTAACTTTACAAATTGTGACGAGAGAGTAATGACAAACACTGGTTAGACCCGCCCTCACCCCTACAATTTCCCGATTGGTAAAAATGAATTAAAAAGTTTGAGGCCCCTCATTATAGCTTAAACTATTCTCCTCCAGAAAATCGTACTGGTCGCAATTATACAAGTATTAAAAGGGGAGGGACTGTTTTAAATATATAATTGTTGAAAAATACTACTGCGTCAAAGTCAGAAATAAAATTGTGTTTCATTTACAAAAGTATGTTTAAGTTGCTGGCATCACCTTTAATAATGAATGGATCTGGGGAAAGCATAATCGTGATAAAATATGTCTGTATTTATGTCCTAAAAGCCTCCTATGAACAAGTGTTTCAAATTAGCATGATCTAGCTATAACACTAAAAGCAGTGCATCTGGTCTGTCCAATGTAACTGCATCAAAATAAATAAATAAACTTCTCCAATATGAAGCAAACAGTGGCACAACAAACACATGGTTTAGTTTCGGCTGCCCTCACCCGACAGTGCGTCTTGAACTCGAGCTCCTGCTGCTTCAGGCTCTCGTTCATGGTGACGAGGGCGCGCAGCTTGTCCAGGAGCCTGTAACAGAAGCGCAGCAGTTAGAACCATCGTCATGACAACGTCCTGCTCGGTGGAACCATCCTCACGCTGGGTCTGCGCTCTTCTCCATCACCTCCAGCGACTGCAGCTCCTTCTCCAGCCGCTCAGATTCCTCCGACACCTGCACAGCAACAAGATGAAGAAATGTAAAAATACCTTTAAGATGCCATTGTTATCTTTATGACATCTGTATGTAGAAGACTATACCACAAAAACACATTAACTTTGAATGTGTTGAGCAGTTTCTTAACCCTTGTGCTACTCTCGGGTCAGAATTTAGTCTCTATATTAGGGTCTTAAAAGGCCTAAATGACGCAGAGCTGATCAAGTTAGGAAAAATCATCAAAATGAATCTGTGTTCACCTCTGTAAGTCTTCTCTTTGCCTCGTCGCAGCTGGCTTTCACCTCGTCGTGTTTGGCTTGAAGCTGTAAACAGACACATCCATTAACGATCTCCATAGAGCATAGACTCAGAGTGTCTGTGTGTGTGTGTGAGTGTGTGTGTGTCTGACCTCCTCCAGCGCCTTGCTCTTTTGTTGGATCTGTTTGTGCAGTGAGGCCACAGTCCGCCGGTGCTGCTGCAGAGGCCCATACCGCTCCGACAGCTCCTCTGAGGACAACTCGCTCTGCTGTGGGTCAGGAGTTCAGTTTCAATGGTACGGATAACATTAATTGCACCGTCTCTGAGTAAAGTTATTTTCACTTGACATTCAAATAAAATAATTACGTGACAAAAAAGGATTATTGAAGAACATGAATCTTGAGGGGAGGTTCTCATACCTTGTCCTTGTACTCTGAAGCGATCTGCTTGATCTCCTCCGACTGTAGTCCTACTATCTGACCCACCGCACTGGCCGTCAGTTTTCCCTGAGAATAGAAGAACACGTGAGAGTGCATTTGGACAGGCCATAATGTATTTGATTGACATATCCTTTAAGTCTTTCAACAATGACAAAAAGATGAATGGCTTAAAATCAATGACAGTAACTTGTATACACACACACACACACACTCACCTCCTCTATCGCCATGGCAGCCATGTTGGTCATCAGAGTCTTAATCCGCCTCTAACAAAACAGAATATTGCACATAATTCTAACACAAAATTATAGATCTTCAATATAAACCCATGTTTATTAATTGAGTGCCACTTTTGGCTAGCTTAAATTAAGTCTACAACAAATAAGTATCATAATAAGATAAGATAAGATAGACTTTATTGATCTCACACTGGAGAAATGTATGAATTTGTCATATTTGGCATGGATAGAATCAGTCAGATTGTGAAAGAGACAGGAGTGTGCAAACATGTTAAAGGTTAAAATATAGTCTGTGCAGGATACAATTATGTACAGTAGAAAAAGTTTTGAATATATAGTTTCTTCTTTTTCACTTCAGGTTTGAACCAGGATCAATCAGAACAGACTACACAAACTCAATGCACTCATTAATCCCGAGAACTGAAGGTTTATGATTAAAATGTGTTTCTCCTTCAAAACAGTTTTTTTCCTTCTACCATCACATTTCTGTGATGTAGAATATAGATTACAGAAAGCATGCCTTGTTGCCATTACACATGTTTTTAGTTGCTATCAAAACCAAAGTAGCACAAACGGATGTGGTTTAATGCTGATCCTGACCTCCTCCACCTCCTGCAGGTCCTCCTCCTCGGATACGTCTGCTCCTGAGGTAGAAACACCAGCTACTACGGCCTTCTGACCGTCCACCTGTTTACAAAGGTGTTAAAGCTGCAGTTAGTGTCCGAGTGATGGAACAGACGACGAGAGCACTGTACAGAACCTTCACAATTAGAATATGTGAAAATAAATTAAATCAATAAAAATATCAGAAATGTACATATTATTCAAAAGTGTTTACCTAGATTTGCCTATAATTTAAAAAAAAGTTAGACCGCCTTGAATTCATAGCAATAAAGTTGCCACTGATACTACTTTCTTGGTTTGCCAGTACATAGAATAAATGCAAGAAATTTTTTGCCTTTACAGCATAGACTGGAGGATGGACGATGCTGACCTCTAACCTCCGACCCAAGCTCTATGAAGTCTAACGGGCGAGAAGTTTGGCTTTGACTCCATTCACCTAAGTCCAAACGTAAACTCCTCTCACTCTGTATCTGTTTGTGTCACACTCACTACGATCCTGCTGCTTTATTTTGGTCATCTCTTTGTAAATCCCTTTATGACCGCTAACAACAGACCGATCAAGTGCCTTCTGTCCCTGAATTTGGCTTTAGCTACTCATCAACGACATTTATGGACTTTATCAACATTTATGGACATTGGTCATATGCCCCTTATGGACCAATGGCTCTATGTGTTTTTATCATTGCATTTCCTGTGTTGATCCGTTTGATTTTCAGATCAGTGCTGGTGAATTTAACAGTTGTGTGAAGTCCTCCGAGAAAACTACTGTTGTGATTTAGGGCTACACAAGAATAAATTGTATTGAATTGAGCTAGCGAGTAATGTGAGCTTATTGGCTCTTTGGTTTCTAAGTCGTTGCTATCCCTATCCCTATTTTAACCTTCGACAGGAGTGAAAAAAATTGAATCCCTAAATGTATGTATGAAGGAATCAATTATTATTATTATTATACATGACAGAAACATACATGCAAATATGTATGTTTCTATCATGTATAATATGTAATTGCTGTAAATTCTAAAATTGATTTCTTATAAAGCTTGAAATAAATCCAATTAATCAATCTCGGAATTTGGCACAAAATTCCCACTCATGGAGCCCGTTAAAGGTTAGACCTAGACCTTCTTCCAGGAACAGACAATTGCTACGGGTGACGACAGCACTCCTTTCCTACATTCCTACATAGAACTCCTACATTCTAAGCTTGACAGTGATAAATCATAGAATTACGGGCTAGAAAATAGCCTACAATTACTTAACTAAACCTAGAGAGAAACTAAAAAGAGCCTACAATCCATATGGACTTACTTTGTCTGGTTTGGTCTGCTTACTGAATCCATACCTCCTGGAAAAGAGTCATAAAACAGATATCGAGCATGAATATAAAGTAAAAAGAACAAATACACTCACACTATTGATATAACGCCATGCCACATATAAGCAACGTGGACATGAAAGAATGCAGCCACCATGCCTGAACTCTGACCACACAACACGACTCACAGGAGGAGGCTACTCACAGGATATCGGAAAGTGTCTGTCTACAAGGAATGGAAGAGATGGAGGGATGAGATAAAGAAAGGTGACAGATTGGTGGAAAGATTTGTACAGAGTGCTCAAGAAGAAAACATTAAAAAGTAGGAATGGAGTTATGGTGTGATCAATTAGATAAGTTTGCAGTGGTATCTACAGAAAAAAGTAGAATATTTTGTCTCTTGCATGTAATCCATATAATATATATATACGTTTGAACAATAATTTTCAAAGTTTGACCTGTAAACTCATTTTGACAGTTGAAAATGGCTTCAGGAAATTATTAGGATAAAAGAGATTGAAACGACTTCATGCAGATGATGATACAGCGGGAAATTACCGCTACAAAACTTATGACTGAAATATCATACACTATGAAAATAAGAATGAAGTCATATTTGAATCCTGTACAGATAAAACCTCATAATTTTCCCCCAAAAACTCATTCATTCTCAATTATCTTCAACATGTGCCTATACAGTAGTTTATGTAAAACCGTGCATATTGTGCTGACCTGCCATATTCCAGGAGAGTAGAGTGGACCCTGGACTCCTCGTCGGTCAGATCAGCAGCGTCTCGTTGCCTCCTATACTTCCTCTGAGGTTTGTACGCATCCTGTGAAAAAGAGATTGTAGAATAAACATAAAGAGTGCAAATGTGTTCACGAGCACAACTGTCACGTAACCATATTATTAATTACAAAAACTATTGTTTTTCTACCAGGGATATTCAGGGAGTCCCATTGGGATTTTGCCCTATTGTAAAGAGCTGAACCCAATTTAACATGGTTAATATTTAATTAAAGAACATTTTGGATTAATGAATAAGAACAGAATACATGTATAATAAGCCATGGTAGCACATATAAATACAAGCCTTCATTAAGTATTGACTCCTGATTCATACAAAAAAAATCAGCAGACTTGTATGAGGTTAAAGACCAGGTTCTGGGGCCATATAGAAATGTGGATTGGGCCGGATGTGGCCCACAGGCCGCACTTTGCCCCGGTCTGCTTTAGACAATGATTTATTCTGAGGGTAGAATGACTAAACCCAGTCACTAAAAGCATAATTCCTCTCACTGAACAAGTTTGGTTTAGATAATTATACCAGAAAATTATATTGAAATTACAGTAATCCTCATTCCGAAATATCATCATTATGAGCTTCAAACACATTTATACTTGCAGCCCCCAGGCAGATATTATTTCTTAAATCCAGCCCCCAACCTGATTTACAATGAGCCTAATGGGGGAAACTCCTACCTTCCAGTAAACATGCACATACTTTTATCAAACATGAAATTGAACAGTATTTAGATGTGAATACTGTTGCCAGCATTGTAAATACTTACCAAAACGTCCAGAACTGTCTTTACTGCTTTGCCTTTTCTTTGCTCAAACTCAACATCCTATTCAAGAGAGGTACATAAGAACCACAGTACTTTCTCTTTGGGATAAAGATGTTCACTGCTGTTTGTCTGTCTGTACCTCTGGGAGTTTGTGGGTTTTGTTGAACTGTGAAATGGAATAAGCCCTCACATAGTCGCCCATCTCCTCCCGCGTTTCGATAGCGCGTTTCACCAACCACTGCAGAAGGAACATGTCGAATGAGGATGGCACTTTTTTCATTCATTCATTCATTCATTCATTCATTCATTCAAACACGTGTCTCACTTGTATGACGGGGTAAATGTGGATAAAGTCCAGTCCTTGAATTTGATGTGGTTCCAGTCGGTGTGGACACTTCATTTTGGGTAAAACAGACACGATTTTCTCAGTGAGAGCTCTGTAATCAGATACAGACAACAACTTTTAGAACAAAACAGTATCTTAAATGATACATGGTTTTAAGTGGTGTTTAAAGCAGTAAAGTGCACGTACATCTTCTGACCGATGGTTGAGTTTTCCTGAAATAGTAAATCGACATCCACGTCAAAGTTGCATGTTGTGATGCACCAGGTCATTCCTCCCACCACCTGTACAGAGATCAGATGTTCTTTAACCAAGGGCCTTTGTTAGAGGTCATCAGGATGCACTTAAAGCTGGGTACCTATTTTTCAAACAACCAAAAAAATCCAAAATCAGTTCCAAGCTCTAAAACTATAAAACATGTTATGTATTTATGGACTCATTTTTACATCGGCTTTTTCATCTTTAGATCAGCTTTTTCAGACAAAAAAGCAATAAAGAGAGGACCACATTCACTCAGCCAATCACCTCTCAGCCCAAAGTGTCAAAAACTGACTCCCTCTGAAAAGTGCTCTTTCTGAAAAGTATGCCAAAGATGTTTACTAATAAGATCAACATTTTACTGTTGGACAAATAAAATGTGAATGTATAAAAAAACATGGAATACAAAAAAATATACATACTAGAGAATGTAGCTACAGCCTCAGAGGAACTGATCTGCTTCAGAAACCCAGAGCAAAGAGTAATACTAAGAGGAGATGTGTATCAGTCAAAGGAGTTGATCTATGGAACAGTCTATCTGTTCAACTTAAGGGCTCAAGAACTATTAAAACATTCAAAAAAAAGTATAAGTCAAATATTATGGAGAAGTATAGGACAATTGAATTGGACTATGCTTAATAACTCGTGTTTATGGGAGTTCATGTTTTGTGCTTCATGTTACCATCGTTGGTATATGAGAATCTGTATATTGTGTCACCTATAATTTTGATCATGTATAACATTATTTTTATTTGTTGAAGTGCAATTTTTTGGTGCCTCATGTTACCATCGTTGGTATATGAGAAATTGTATGTTGTGTCATTTACAATTTTGATCATGTATAACAAATTTTGATTTGTTCAAGTGCAAGTTTTTGGTGCTTCATGTTGCCGTCGTTAGTATATGAGAAACTGTATAATTTGTCATCTTTGGACGTATTTTCACATTGTATTAGGGGTTAGGCAGTATAAGTTTTGACTTCAGCCTAAACCCTTTCGGTCAGGTATTGTTTCGCACAAGGTCCTTTATGGACACATTTTGGTTATTTTTTTTCATTTTATTTTTATTTTCTTGTTGTAAAAAGTAAATGTGAGCTCTGTATCCGTGTGACCCGAGGTCGGGTGTACATATTGACCGAAGAAAAAAAATAAACTAACTAACTAACTAACTAACATAGCAACAAAATGTGACATTAACAAACATATTTTATTAAATGCTAGAACATCAACATTAAAATGACTAACGTGAGTGTGATGCCTCTGCATTTGCACCACACATTACCTGCACTCTCATAATCCAGGCACCAAATTCCACTAAGCATTATTTCCCTTGGTATTCTAATCATTAGCCCTAAGAGTAGAAGCAGCAAAATTGTTTCTAGAGCTACTTAATCCACGACACTTTCTATACAGCGACCTTTATCCCTTTTGTCTGAATCTTTAAAGAGTTAACTTGTCTTTATTTAAATTACAACACGTTTTACTTTACTGAATGAATTGGTGGAGGTGAACACAGTGAATATGACTCACAATTATCTCCGTACCTTATCAAATGGGGACAACCCTTTAATCCTGGCTCTGAAGTATCCAGCCGCCAACAGCAGCTCCAGGATCTCAGCCAACTTGATGCTCTGCTCCTCATCCTCTCGTGTCTCCACCTGTCAGAGGAAAATACTTGAATACTTCACAATTTACTACAACTGATACAAGTGTTGAGTTTGTCTTGTGTTAGCTTATGTGGTTATGTTTGGTTTGACTTTGTTATGGTCTAGTTTTATCCTTGATTACATCAAAATGATTAAGATACGATTCAGTCCTAGTTTAGAATAGTCTCAGTCATTGTCCTGGCTCAGTTCCTACATCTTTCCACATCTAATTTGCCACTTTTACCAGAAATGTGGTACATGATCCTATACTATTAAGACATTATTTCATAGATGTACCTTCTATACAAAGTCTTTATAGATAGCCGTTTTTTAAATAGCCGTTGAGTTTGGAAGAGACTAACTAACTAGAACCACTCCTGTTAGCTTGCACTGTTGCCTGCACGAAATGTTGCACACTTTAACAGCTATTTACATCCTAAATAATGCAACTTTAAAGCTGTCCAGGAATCGCTTGAAAGATGAAACCGTATATTTGAGTTTACCTGGATAATATTTCCATCTTGGTCGTACTGGGCGCCTATTTTTGAGCCTGTTCTGACTCTGTGGAAAACTGAAGATGCCGCCGCCATCTTGGCCTGATGTTGTGAATGACAGGTCACATGAGAACAGCGGAAAGAGCCCTACTACAACAAGACAACATTTTTTTACGGTAAATACCACAATTAATGTCATATTATTATTTTTATATGCGTTTTGGGTGTTTTAAATACCGGGTGAATTGTGTGGTCATCTGCGCTATATAATAATATTGTTATATTTTTCATTATAATTATTATTATTAGGTATACATTTATAATCGTTTATTTAATGTTAAATATGTTTGACATTTGGCATTTATTTTGCAACACTGTTTTGCAACTGTTTATACAATGTGCAATGTAAATACATTTTAAAACGAAGAAGACACAAAACATAGCATATATTTATTGTTTCATTATTGTTAACATTTATTTTACTGTAATGCTATCTAACGGGTGTTCGATAAAAAATAAAGAAAACAGAACAGTTGCATTGATGCAATAGCCGCATCTGAATTCATAGATAATCCTTATTCTTTTTTCTACATTGGTGATAGTCAATGTAGCATACGTGACATTACAACGTCCTTTATAAAGTCTTAAAATATACTTGACCAAATTTAGAGCTACTTTATCTCTGAAATATCCCATTATAAATCGCAAAGAGTGATAAGACGGATAAAGATTATACATTGGGATGCACTCAATTTTACGACATTGTTCCCCCTTATTGCGGCAATCCCCGAGTTTACGGCAGTACGGGTTGTTTTGTGGCACACGTGTGTACAGTGGATCAGTGGGCTCGGCTCCAGCATGGGCAAGATTATGAAGAAGAAAGTGGATAAAATTAAGGCGAACAAAGGTAAAAGGGTTAAAAGGCGCCCTAAAAGTAATGGCGACTCTTCTGATGTCTTTAATGAAACACCAGAAGAGGACATTGGGGTGTTTACGGCTGTTCCCGAGGCGGTTCGTTACGACGATGATGTGGAAGAGGAAGATTTTGACCCTCAGCTGAGCGCAGATGAAGTGGAGGCAGAAGAGGAGGATGATGAACGCAAGAGAAACAAGCTGGTCCAGGCCATCAGCTCCATGGGAAAGGGGCGCAAGAGTTCACGCCTGGAGGAGAGGTCCGAGGCCGCGCTCATCGTATCTGAGTTTGGCGTGAACTCTGTGGGAGAGAGTGGAAAGGTCGAGCTGTCAGACCTGATCCCCAGCGCCACCAAGAAGGCCCAGAAGCAGATCGAGACTCTCAAGAGGGGCCGCAGGACGCTCGAAACTCCACTGTCAAGGTACAGGCTAGTGGCAGGGTCTTAAGCAGGGGTACATCACTTTTAAACTAACTAAAAACATATATATTATACCTAGTTCTTCTCCCACAAATCAGTTTGGTTATATTACTAGCTTTCACATACATGCATGTTTCGTCTCTGTCATATTTCTCTTAAAAATTAGCTTTTTCGGACAGAAAACGAACTAGAGGGTTTTTCTCATCTCTCAGCCTAAAAGATTATATAGACGTCACGGCATGTTATGGTCTGATTTCCTATTATCGGGGGAAGTGTTTGTGACGGGTTAGCTTTTGGATTAATCTTTCGTATTATGTTTAGAAGCAGTAACATTATTTAAGTTTTATTTAAATTGTTTGTTTGTTCAATGACATTTTTTAAAGAGAAAAAATAAGTAAAAACACTAAAAGACGTGTACACTTATATACGTATTGTGAAAATTACATACTATATACATTACGCGATTTTAAATCATGAATGCAAATACATGTCAAACATATTAATGTTTACAAACTCATTTTTGACTCCATGATGATTTTGTTATATTTTAAGTGTACTACAAAAAAACATTTGAAGCTGTATAATCTTCAAATTGCAAATAGTGGAGCAAGACGATTAAAAAAGAAGAAAAAAATCCATGTTTTTAGCTCTAAAAACCGTTTGCCATGTCAAGTTTTCTCATGCATGACTTTAACTACACTCAACTGCTTTAAATTTTAAATTTAATTAAATGTTATTCAGAAGAATTTTGCTCACTAGGATTTTTCTGATGCAAATGTTTATTAAAAAAACGTTATACACTCCAACCCAATAATATGTATTCTGTAAATAATATATATTTCATGTTTTGATAATTATGACTCAGTTGTAGAGATCCATTTCTTCCTTTCATTACAGGCAGGAGACCGAGCGCATTCACAGAGATGTGGCATTCCAGAAAGTGTCAGAAGAAGTGTCCAAGTGGAAGAGCGTGATCAAACAGAACCAGCGCTCCGAGCAGCTGGTTTTCCCCCTGAACCAGGAGCCCTCTGGACCCAAGGCCATCGAACACGTGGTGACAGGCTGGAAATCCCAAACGCCGCTGGAACAGGAGATCTTTGCTCTACTCAACGCCAACAAACAGCCCATACACAACCCGGTCCTCACCCCCGCCGAAGAGGAATCCATCAAAGCCATGAGTTTGGTAGAGGCCAAAATCCGTAGGGCCGAACTCCAGAAGGCAAGAGCCATCCAGTCATATTACGAATCCAAAACGAGGCGTGAGCGCAAAATCAAAAGCAAAAAGTACCACAAGGTTCACAACAAGGCAAAGCGGAAGGAGTTTCTAAAGCAGTTCGACGAGATGGTAAAGACCAACCCGGAAGCAGCTCTGGAGGAGTTGAAGAAGCTGGAACTGGGGCGCATGAAAGAGCGCATGTCTCTCAAGCACCAAAACAGCGGAAAGTGGGCCAAGTCCAAAGTCATCATGGCAAAGTACGACGAGGATGCAAGGAAAGCCATGCAGCAGCAGCTCGAGATCAACAAAGAGCTCACGCAAAAGGTTGTCACCGCTCTGAATAACGATGAGGAGGAGGAAGAAGAAAAGGAGGAAGAGGTCCTGCCGGATTTTGCAAACGATGCGGAACAAGCCGGAGACTCGACGAACCCCTGGATGAGAGGAAAGCTTACAGAAGAGGAGCGAGAGAACAAAGAAGTGTCCGAGATGCCGGTGGAGACTGTTGTGATAGAGGAGGAATCCGAGGAAGAGGAGGTGAACGAAGACGAGGTGTTGTTGAAGGAGTTTGAAAATAAGCGTCAAAGGCGTAGAGAAGCGGAAAACAAAACGGACGAACAAGATGAGGAACAGGAGGATGAGGATGAGGAGGACGGCATGGCAGAGGAGGAATTGTCTAAGTTTATGTCAATGATCCGTGGTTTGTCAAGGAAGCCAGAAGTCGAAATAATCGCAGACAACTCCACGCCATTAGAGGAAGGGCTCTCGAGGATTCAGACTATGGAGGACGCCGAGAATCTACAAGACGCGGAAATGCCGGAAAGCGATGTGGTCGAAGTGGTACCGCAGGAAGAACATACAGGCATAGCACCAGCAAAAAAAGCCAAAAAGAGAAAACGCAATATTGAACTGAAGCAAGTCCTGACTAAAGAAAGCAAAGTGGTAACCGTCCCGCTGAAAGTGACAACAGAGGAAGCAGAAGACGAGGATTTGGAGGAGGAAATAGACCAGCGAGGGCTCATCAGAGAGGCGTTCGCGGGGGACGACGTTGTTTCTGATTTCCTGAAAGAAAAGCGCAACCAGGAAAACGCAGGCAAACCCAAATCGGTGAATCTGACACTGCCGGGATGGGGCGAATGGGGCGGCCTTGGTTTGATGCCGTCGAGGAAGAAGCGCAAGAAGTTCCGAGTCAAAGCAGCGCCAGCGGCACCACGCAGAGACGCCAAGCTTCCCGAGGTGATCATGTCGGAGCACCGGGACAAGAGCATCGCCCTGCACCAAGTGAACAGTCTGCCCTTCCCGTTCGACAACCACATACAGTTCGAAAGCTCCATCCGCTGTCCGATGGGGAGAACGTGGAACAGCGAAAAAACGGTCCAGAAGGTCACACAGCCGAGAGTGGTGACGCAGTTGGGGGCCATCATTGAGCCAATGGGACGCGAGGAGTTCAAGAAGGTTCCGCAGGCCAATCAGAAAGCTCAAACCCCTACTGTGACAAATCAAAGGAATGGACAGCCGGAAAGAAGGCATAAACACGTTCAGAAACGGAAAAAGCACAAGTAGGATTTCACAAATTATTGTTTATTTTGGACTGATGCTAAATGTGTCTGAGCGAAGCCAGAGTTAAAAATACTAAACTGAAGAGTGTGTGGACATTACGGCTTTCTTAACAGACTAGGTGAAAAATGAGTGCTTCAGCTGCTGATAACTGTATTGCCATATATTGAGTTGTGGACATGTGATGTAGATGTGAGTGAATTATATGAATTGGACAATTATGAGTTTAAAATGGATTAAGACAAAACTTGAGAACTTCTTGGTTTGTTTTGCAAGTCTGAAGTTAAGGATTTGGGCCCCATATGATCCATACATGTATTATACTTGAAAATTGCATCACTACAACTACTTTGATATGTATCTACATTTAATAAATGTCAAATGTAAACTGCTTGCTGTGTTTTGTGAAGATCATGGAGCTCGGAAGTGAATTCATGGTCCTGAATAAATGTTTTACATTTATGATTCTAAGTAAGTTAAATCATACAATGAAAATTTCTCTGTTGAGCTATATCAAATTTATATTTCTCGAAGTATTCATCCCCTGCATGAACACGAGCACATGAGCAGGGTTTAACAAATCCTATCAAGTGAACTCTGCCATATGCTGTATAAACCATTAGATGGCAGTATTGTCACAGCCAAAAACTCATGTGTCTCACTGAAGAGCGGTTGTTGCTGACTAATGCAAACTATTTCAAACAAATTAACTTGCATGTATTTAGCAGCTGTTTAAAGGTGACTTTTCTATTGATATTTGGTGTATAATATTAAAATATACCACACATAGATCATTATAGGCTTTGTGCACAATGCGCTTTAATATTGATCTAAAACGGTTGTTTAACAGAAATACTTAAAAACCTTTTCAAGTCATAAGTTGATAATGCATAAATTTTTCTGAGCAACTTTTTGGGAACTCAGAAGAGGCTTTACATGGTAAAATACTTTCACTCCTTGCAGTCCAGCGGTTTCAAAACATGTGGACCAAGGGCCATTTGCTGCCAGGGGTTTGTGTCCTACCCCCTTGTGGACATCAAAGTTTAATGTTATCAAAGCTAATTTTATCAAGAAAACATCCACATCATTGAACATTGAACCCTGGAGGCAATACGTAAGAATCCAAAGTAGACATGATGCAGTCCCCAGCACTGGGCATCATTGCCTTTGATCCAGTTTAGTTTCAATCCAAGCAGCAAAAAAAAAAAATCTAAGCCTATACTCATATTGAACAAAAGTAACTATGTCAAAATACGACAGTAGCTCAGTTGGTAGGTTGGGTTCAAGCCCACCACAAGACTTTCTCCACCGACTCCCACTGATGTCTGCTGTTGTTGTATCCTTGGCATGACACTTAACCTCTGGGCACACCTGATGCCACAGTGGGGCGATTGCGGCTGTAAAGTGCCAAACTGCCTTTGTGTCCTTAGGCAAGACACTTCACCCCCATTGCAGCTGTGGCTACAGTAGTAGTTTATCACCACCGTGTGGAGTGAATGAATAATGACATGTGAAGCGTCTTTGAGTGTCCAAAAAAGCGCTCTATAAAACCAATGCATTAATCTTTCACATGCAGACCACGACACAAGTTGCCTTCATAATAGTGTGTCTAAATAGGTCAAATTTTTGGCAACAGTCACACTTAAGCACAGTAAAAACGGGTGGGGTTAGGTGGTAGGTGAAACAGGCCTTTTCTGGATTACACAAACATGCATGAAAGAATCAAAGAAAACTAAACTTTGGGAAAGATAATGACATAGAACCACAAGAATTGCATCTTTGTGGAAAGATTTTTCTACATATCACGTCCCCTTTAAACGAGCGCCTATCTCCTCTCTCATCTCTATTGTTTCTCTGCGAGTGCAAAGCGGAGCCACTGCAGTTGGGTTGAACCTTCACACTCGGGCGAGAGAGCGTGGCGTTGGCACCTTGACGTCTCTGTATTTCACGTGATGGACACTCGATTAGGGCTCCCGGTCCTGCGAATAGACTATGCATCAGAACCGGTAAAAAGCCTGTCAGATCACAGACTGTAGCGGCTCGAGATTTCCATTACCGGACGGACTTGTGCATGTGTGTGTGTGCGTGTTTGTGCGTATGCGTGCGTGTGTGTGGAGAAGTTACTAAATCAGTCATCTCCGTGGCTTTCTTTCTTTCTCTCTATTGCACGGAGCAATTACGGGGTAGTCAGACCTTGGGATGCCCCGCTTGGAGGGATAGATAGATGGGTAGTGTGTAAATCAAAGTGGGGTGTGATGGAGTGAGTGTGTCGCTGAATAAGGCCCATTTGTGCCATGTGCTTAAATGTTTGCTCTGCGTTGAAGAAATGGCCACAACTGGCTAATATGTAACGCAGACTTATGTAGAGCAGGATGCATTCAGGGGCGAAGGAGAAAAAAATCAGGGCCCCAGGAAAAAACGGTGTGGAGTTACAAACTGTCTAGTGGAGATTATCATACTGTCTTGTACAGTGGTGTTCCAAGGGTACCCCGGGGCCCCAGGCAACAGATTCCTTGGGGACCCCGATACCGACCACATAACCAGATTTTGTAATCCTACAAATCCTTTCATTTGGCCCTCTGTGTTTGTATAGTCTATATAAACACTGAGGGCCAAATGAAAGATTAGGCTTTTAGCTTTAATCTGCAAAAAACATTTTGTTTTTACCTTTTACCGTTCTTGAGCAATCTATCAAAGAATATGAAATATATATTTTAATCCAAAATTTAAATTTTTCAACTGTGGTCGTCACAGCGCAAGTGTTGCAACTAAACCACCATGACATACTACACTGTGTTGCCTCTAGGCAGGATTTTTAACTATTAATAAAGAACATGGCCAGTTTTGCATCAGACGAAAAGTTTTCATCCGCCAACTTGTCACTGCAGGTAGCTGTTGTAGCCTGTACGTACAAGTCGACCGCTTGTATCAAATCAGTCGGCCATCGGGGCCCCTGCCGGTTTGGGGGCCCCAGGCAGCTGCCTGCCTTGCCTAATGGCAAGGGACGCCTCTGGTTTTGTATTCAGTGTTACTAGTTAAATAAAAACAAGATTAACCTTCATTGACATATTATTTGTCATGTCACGTTTCAACAAGATTTTATTGTGTAATTAAAAAGGAAAATGTGATATTGAACATTGAAATTAAAAACTATTTGTAAATCCAGGATGCATGTCAAACTTAGGTCAAAGACTGTACACAGATGTTTCAGGAAATTACTTTTCATATGTCATAGTTTAAACTAGTTTGTTGTTGTTTTTTTAAAGCCTGTAATTGTAAGACACGGTCATGTATCCTATGGCGCCAGATTTACGCCAAAAGTCCACACGCGCAAATAATACATACACGCGCAGCTTTATTTAATTCACACGCGCGCAAACCAGTCTCCACGCGCATATTTCACCCTACACACGCGCAGATTCAGTACCACGAGCAACAATACGCGCGTGTGTGCGTTCGTGACATGCCTTCTTCCTGCTCGTGGTCTGTGTTCTGCGCGCGGGCCACTGCTTTCCAGGAATTCCCGCGGTTAGAAGATTTGGTTCAGAAGACGAATACTTGGTGAGCGTTTTATATTTATTTGATATATAAACATATTACAATGTAGGCAACGTCCTTTATTTCATTAGTATTCTACTAAATTTCAGTTAAAAATGAGAAGAACTTAGTTACTATCAATTAATTAATTAAAATGATGGACATTGGCAAACAAGCAACGATTGGGACACCGGCGCGATGTTAGCTATGGAAAGACAGTTAAAAAAAAAAAACATTTGTATGACTATATTTTAGGAGGGAGGTAGTTTTGTACTGTTGCTGTTTGTAGAAACTAAGATGAGTGGCAGGTCATATTGGGGCAAAACAAATTGTGTCACTTTGGTGCTAGTTTGAAGGTTGCCTAAAAGAGTACCTCTGCTCAGTGTATACTTGCTATGATTACTTAAGTTGTCTCCTATTAACATAAGTAATAATTTAATGAACAACTTTGACTATTTGAGTGATGTTTGACCAGGACTCACTTAACTATAAGTACAGTATTTCTACTGTATCCTCCATGATGATCCATGATTACTGAACAGGCATGTTAATGTTTATAATGTCATTGTAGCCTTAGTATGTATAAACATATGATCGTTTTTAAATTTATGTGTAGACCAACAAACCACCACCACTTTTCCTGACTGAGATGGCTGTTGCAGGACCTCCGAATATCCATGTATGTATGTCTGAAAAAGAACAGCTAATTTACGAATGTCTAGATGAATATAAGTTACTCAAACCAAGTCTCCTTTGTTCTAGGGCTTTTTGCGACAAGAGCTCATGACCAGACTCCAGTCAAAATTGGAGTTAGCCCTGGGAAGGATGCCCATTGACCTTGACTTTTTGGAGTTTGCATGCCGTCAGGAACTGTACCTCTGGGAGGCACTGGCTAGGCATGTTGATATCCAGCCAGAACTCTTGCATGCATTAAGGGACATTCTTGCAGCTGTTATATCACACAGTGATTTTCAAAACACAGCGACAGGTACCACTATGGAGACTATAGTTGGAGAAACGGGACGTCCAAGGTACCACATTGAGGAGGAAAGACTTCTGGAGCTTCTGGACATGAATTTACCTGTAAATAGTATTGCAAGGTTATTGGGTGTTTCACCCAGGACAATTCAAAGAAGGATGAGTGACTTTGGTTTGGCTGCCAGACAGCGATACAGTGACATTTCGGATGAAGCACTGGATGATGCAGTGAAACTTGCAAAGAGTGAAATGCCCACTGCAGGGTATCGGATGGTAAAAGGCAGACTTATGTCACAGGGCATCTGTGTGCAGTGGCGAAGAATAACTGCTTCAATGCACCGTGTTGACTCTATTGGAATTTTATCAAGATTGATGGGGATGGGCTGTATAGTTCGAAGAACATACTCTGTGAGAGGCCCACTGTCACTATGGCATGTCGACACAAACCATAAGCTAATTAGGTGACTATTCTTAATTGCTTGTTAAAAATAAGAAACTTGTGCATGTTTACTATAATTGTTTCATATGTCCAACAGATTCAACATAGTTCTTTTTGGCGCTGTGGATGGGTACTCCAGGAAAGTAAGTTTGCTGTACCTCTTGACTTTTGAAAGTAGCTAATTAAAGGCTCAATATGTGACCATTATGTTGTTAGGTAATGTGTCTACAAGCTTCAAACAACAACCGTGCTTCTACTGCGTTTTCATCCTTCAAACAGGCAACTGAGCAACATGGTGTGCCCTCTATAGATTTGTTTTGATATTTGACGTTATATCTTTATTCATTTCTTAATCGTGCAACGCATTCCTTCCTTGTATTGATTATTAAGAAGAAGAAGAAAAGATATCTGTTTGAACTGTATGGTCTTTATATATTTATTACCTTTCTCTGTATTGTTTTAAAGCTTCTATTTACACATTTGCAATTTTGCCAAACCTGGCCATGTTCTGCTGGGTAGCAGAGCAAGATGGTGCCTCCCTTGCCTCCCTACGAGTCTGTTGGCCTGTCGCCTGGCCTGCAGTAGCACCTGCTCCGGTACTCTGTCCCTGAACTTTATTTCAAAATACAGACAAAACAAACATTAAACTAAAATATATGTGGTTTTAAGGAGAGTAAATATTACATACCATCACTTCTTATCATGTTGATAATGCTGGAAACCATGTTTCGTAGCTGGTCCTGAGAGAATAAAAGACAAATTACTTCAAAAGCAACAGAACTTGGCTCCAACAATTGAATAAGTGCAAATACCTCATTTTTATCCGACATATTTGCGAAAAACTGAACAAAAAAACAAAACATAATTAGAGACATACATACATAAAAAATTTAGATATAAGACCATTGTGTCCTCTGTCCACACTATTAGCTATATAATGTACTAACTATTTCAACAATGCATCTTGGAAAATAGTGTCCATCAATCACTAAAACAGCAGGGGTTGTAGCTGAACGTGTGGTCTAGTTGGGACCACTGAGAAATGTGTCAATAAACTGAGTCCACTATATAGTCAAGTGCAGGACTATAAAGTAAATACATACGAGAATAGGGTGGTTAGAACAGTTAGCTTGTGAACCGTAGCTATTCGGCTCACAAGCTAACTGCTGTTAGCACAAACACATGATATGTATGTTTAATTAAGTGTACAACAGTACAATTCATTAAGAATTAAGTGTACTGTACAACTGCTCTCATAATATAGATATAGCCTCACATCCATTACTGCATTTATTTAAAACGTTTATAACATATATTGATTAAATATAAAACACTCACCAACTCCTGTCTGAAGTGTTCGTCTTCTGAACCAAATCTTCTAACCGCGGGAATTCCTGGAAAGCAGTGGCCCCGCCCCCAAGCGACAAAAGTATATTTCACGCGCGCGTAGAAGAGATGGCAAAAGTTTTCAACGCGCGCAGAACACAGACCACGAGCAGGGAGAAGGCATGTCACGAACGCACACACGCGCGTATTGTTGCTCGTGGTACTGAATCTGCGCGTGTGTAGGGTGAAATATGCGCGTGGAGACTGGTTTGCGCGCGTGTGAATTAAATAAAGCTGCGCGTGTATGTATTATTTGCGCGTGTGGACTTTTGGCGTAAATCTGGCGCCATAGTATCCATCTACATTGTAATCAGTTTAAATGAACATAACACCAGCCTGCCCAGGGACTACAGGTGGAAATTAGCATCTCTGCTATAACCTGGTACTTGCATCTCTCCTTTTGTGTTAATGCTTAACTGTACACTGTCCCTGTTCAAATAAAGTACATACAATACAGTTTAATGTATTGTAATCATAAAGAAATTGGTCAAAAGTACTATTTTACAATAACTCACAAGGCATTCCATAAAAATAGCTAAGTATAATATATACCTTTAAAGTATAAAATTAAATGGAATGTTACATTAAAAAATGTAACATTCCAAAACTGATGGAGAACGTGTGCCTGTGTATATAGGGAAATCTGTGTGTCAGCATTCTTTCTTTGTCTTCAGTGTCAAATAATAAGTACTGTTGAAAAATGACAGAGACTTTGATGGGATCTTAAGCAGATATTCCCATGGGCCTTTATTTCAGTTTCCAGTTGTTTCAGTTTTTTTTTCAGACAGAATGAAGACAGAGCAAGCTTTTTATATGACAATTTGCGTCAAAACAAAGAAGCCAAACCACAGGTGTTAGCTAGACCAAACAACCAGACATGACTGTATAGTCGCCGTGACCTTAAAGACCTCATCACTTGAATATTATGTTGATCACTTGAATATTATGCCTTGCGATTGTGCATTGTGTAAAGTTTAGACTCCACAGTACTCCTTGGAATCCCTTGAAAAAACAGAGGACTCTCTCTCTCGGCTCTGGCCCACATTTCAGCTCCTGACAGCTGTAAGATTAACTCTTGGCTGCGGCTGCGCTCAAGCACACCAAATTAAATTAATGGAACAAATTTGCCTCCTAATTAAGATGAAAATAGGTGTCAGTTGTAACCTTGCCGAGCACTAATTATGTACAAATGATTTATCATGTGTTTGGCCGTGATCGGAGACACTGCAGCGCACGGCCTGTTAAGAGATGCCGCTTGATTAACGCTGACAGCCGACCAATCAGAGCGGAGAAGCGGGTCCGGCCGCGGTCCAACCCATCGCGCACGTCCACAGAGCAGCTGAGCACGGTAGAGGAGGGTACTGAGGCCAAGGTGAGGATTGGAGACGAACTGATGCATTATTGATCCTGAAAGGAATTTAAATGGTATTGTTATATACTGTTCAAGTGCTGTGAATGAGATGGCTTCAACCCTGCTTGCGGTTTGAAATTTCGGCAAGCTATTTAGTAGAAAAAATGCATTCATAACTATAGATTTAGTACAGCTCAATTTTGAATCTGAAGCAATGCTATAAACACAGACGGATATAAAATAGACCGTTGACCCCTCATTTGTATCTTTCTGTGGTAACATTTAGGCCTTATTTTATTTTCAAGAATTACTTATAGCTGCATGGTCAAAAGTGCATCCAAACATACTCAATAGATTAACGTTACAAATTAATGTGCAATATATATATGGTATTTTTCCTTGATTCTTTCCCCCATTTTTCCTCTTTGAGAAACATAAAAAAAAGATTGGAAACTGTAGCATCTCCTCCCAACAGGTGGAGCTATAACACAACCACACCTCCCCTTTAACATCGTCTCAGGTTGTGCCCATTTCTCATGTTGTGCTCAAATGAAATGGGCTCGTGTACAGACAGCTTTTGGCCATTCCTCTGCAGTAATTAGCATCTGAATAGCGCTCCCTAGTGGGCGCTGTAGCTGCACAATAAGTAATCAGTCTTGTGCAGCCGTGGTCATATCTGCTCCTGTCTGCTCCTGCCATTTTGAACTACATGTGCTGATTCAGCCTGCGTTTATAAAACAGATTCTGGTGGGTCACAGGAGACAAATCGCGCATTTTGTAATTTAGCTTCAGATCCAAGGGACATGAGAAGTAGAGAGAATCACCCTCACTCAGTCAATCAGCCCGAAGAGAGACTCATGGGGCTCTTTTTTACCTATGTGCAAAACATGTTTTCTAATAAGATGAGCATGATGTAGATTTATTTCTTCGCACCGTTTTGATTTTACAACAATTATTATCGGTTTTGCTGGGACGAGAATCAGCACTTCCAAATCCGAGGCCATGGTGCTCGACCGGAAAAGGTGCCTTGCCAGGATCGGTGCAGCGTGCGCAGAGCTGCGGCTGCTGTATCAGACCATTGTGGAAAAGAGGGAGCAGTGTCTATAGTCAGAGCTGAGTCGAAAGACAAAGCTCTCAATTTAGCTCGAAATGAGCTTCCACCGCAGAGTGGATGGGTGCTCCCTTATAGGGTGAGGAGTGAAATTGATACATTTACTAAGTAATATTCTACTAAGATCCTACTGTATGGTCTGTAGCATCATTATTAATATAATAATTATAATTATTATAATTATTGTTTACACTTTATTGAGACCACACAGCGGCCCATGGACATTAAAAAGACACACAGAAACAGACAAAAACAAATGCATTAGACTCAGCAGAGGCTCTGGAGCCAGTCAGTCCACATTCTATCGAAAAGTACTGCACCACTCTCTGCATCATACGTCTCTGTTCCTAAGTCTGTACATGCAGCTGTACATGCAGCTGTACATGAGTCTGCAGGACAGGTGGAACGCCCACATCCACAAACATTTGGCTTTGGTGCATGTTATCATTTATCACAAAGGCTCTTTTGTATAATGATGAATAGGATGAAGGGAATGTTTTATTTATGAAAATAAAAAAGTTATTACAGCTTTAATTTTCCTTTTTCTTGATCCTGTGACCCGGCAACGGATGAAGCGGAAGAAAATTGATGGATGGATCATGGATGGACTTTTTATAGATCTGACCTGGTCTCATTGCAATATAATTTGTAACAATGACTTCAAGCAAGCTTAACTTGACTTTGTTCTTGCTTTAGATATTTCAGAAAACTTGGTTTGAAGGTATTCAACATAAGATAAGACCAAACTTTATATACAGTGTTTTTGATGCAAAATCCCCTTTAAAATGATTCTTTTCTTTTTTTCTGTATTGTTTTTGTTGTATATATTTGAATGGCGTGGAGGGGATTGGATTAAAATCTCTTTTCAAACCATGCACAGGTTTTCTTATTTACTCATACTATAAGTATGTTCTGTGATTAACTGTTTGTATAGCTCATATTTGAAATAAATAAACAAATGAAATGAAAAGAAATACAAGCAGTGCAAATCTCGAGTTCCATTTGTCTGTGGTTCTGGATGGTGTGTCCTTTGATGGGGCAGTTTCATGGATCATCTGGAGGTGAGGATGGAGCAGGGGCAGAGGTTAATCTGACAAATGAGAGCGGGACGCAGGACATGAAGGTCTATTATCAGCCACTGCTTCAGTCCACTGAGGAGGAGATTTAAGACCTGCGTGAGGAGACAGGGCTCCACCCATCACCACCTCAGTCTATTTGGGTGATGCATTTTCACTTTAGGTTTCAGGTTTGTATTTATTTATGAAGGTCTTGGCCTTGAAATCAACTATTATAAAACATTGATCTGTCGTCAAAAACAGTTGCTTCAAAACTGAATCCTAGCTATAGTATCAGGAATCTAAACATATTCCCCTAAAATCAAGTGTTTTTTTGCGATTTTAACCATGTTGCAAACTTATTCTCTCATCAAACACAGAGCCAGAGTTGTTTTTAGATCCATCCACACTAATATGAGAAACTCCTGGCATAAACATGTAACTCCGTCCCTTTTGTGTCAGTCCTGTAATAGTATGATGTCATTGTACCACTATGACGTCACAGTCAGAGTTGTTTTTTCCCCATAAATTCGTTTTGGAAATTTCTCAGGGGAAATTATGTCATCAACATTTTCCCTGAACATGGCTGCGTTTGGAAGTGGGTATTTTCAAATTGGGATAAGAACACAAAATAAATTCAACTCTTCCCTCTGGTGGTAGCGTAGAGACTTACAGGTGGAATGTATTTGTTACCCTCAATACTTGTTTGTTGTATTTTCTACATTATTTGGACATTATATAAGCCAATTACTCTATGCACTTTTAATTGTATTTGATTGAGTCTATAGTTTAATTTCACTCACAAAAGTTTTTGGTAAAATTAGCACACTGCTACTCAAACTAACTATAGATGATTTATATTTTTAATCTGAATGCAAGCTTAATAACAGTAATTATTATATATATACAGGTCTATATGCTTTCAACTTGTTGGGAAAAACCACTTACATTTCTGGTGATACAAGGGAAAAATTTCCTAATTGAAATCCACTGATGGGAGAGCCTCCTTCTCTTCCATTAACCCACCCCCTCCACTCCTGTCCCATGATGCAATGTGTCCCACAGCTCACTGAGGTTAAGTATTCCTCCTTTGGGACCATTCCCGTCACAGAACAGAATGTGCTCCGTCATCACATTAAAGCCGTCAATATTCTCATGTTTTGATTTTATTCATAGATATAATACTTGCAAAAATGACTTTGAGCTTGAAAAAAGTTAAATGCAAGAAATGTTTCTAAAACATTCTTTACTTGTGCAAATCACATCACACATGATTTTGCATGATTCTCCGTGATTCTGCACTTTGAGTCTTGAGCAGTAGAGTGGGGAGGGGGAAGCTGAAAACCAAGATTAGATCAACCCCAGACATGTGTATACTGTATATCTTGCATTGGGCCATTTCTGTCAAATTCTTAACTGCACTTGAGATATCTGGCTGTAGTTGGATGTGTCTAAAAGTGTGTGTGTATGTGTATATGCATGTATATGGGGATGTGCATTTGCGTTTGAATATGCATTTATATAAATTTCTAAATGTTGTATCTATACATCCACACATGACTCATCACATGACTTGTGTATTGATGGAGACCTAAGTGGCTGAAACGCGTTGGTTTGCCTTGGACCTACTTTCTCTTCTTTACTGCACATTTACAAGTTCACTTACTGAACAAAAGGTAAGAACAGTAAATTGTTAAATGCAACTAAAAAAGTCATTTGAAACAACACTCAGATTTTACTCAAGTAATGTACTGTAATTGCACAACTGTCCCTATTGAACTTAAAAATCAAACATGCCTTCGAGATGGCCAATGTTAAAATTATTATTTTTCATACATATAAGTGAAACCTTCCCCACTGCACCTTGTACTGTGTCTTCTGTATCTGCATAACATTCATCTATTTTAACATTAATTAGAGCCCTGTACCAAAATGTAATATATAGGATGTGCACAAATACCAAAGAAACCTGGAATCTTGAAGCAATGTCACAGGTGCTACAGTTAACACTGCTTCAAAACAAGCAGATTATCCCTGTCTCTGTAGATTTGTATAGGCCGGTATTCGGTTTAAATGGGTAAAAAGGTCTGAATGTAAAGAGAACAGATGGTGATGTTGGAGGCTCCGCTGCGTCAGGTGTTTGGCGTCCAGCTTCTGTCATCTCTGTGTGTGGAGTGAATAAAAATTACACCAAAATTGTGATGTGCTTTGTGTGGCCGTGGTCTTGGAAATGCACTATATAGATAAAAAATTACATACATACTTACAGAACAGGGAAGCAGTGGCCAGTAATGGGTAACATAGTGTTGAAAATGAGACAAGATGCAAAGACATTTTATTGTTGATGGTAAAGAAGAGACACGACCAGAGTTTTACAGCATGCATGTGATTTTATACCATGGAGGAATCATGGACACTCCTCTGAGCATGTGCAACAGCGCATTTATGCTAGTTTGACCTTCAGATAACCAGAATATTCAAGTGAAAAATCCCCAGCTCCTGCATAGCGTTAGAAAGACAAGCTTAGGTATAACCAAAATTGCATCAAATGTGTTATAAGAGATCCATATTAGGCCCTAGAAATGTATTTTAAGTCTAGGCTGGTTTATACGAGAAGCCGTTAGATTCTTTCTCGCAGTGCTCTGAGGTCCGTTAGCTTGAAGAACATTCTCACTCTTACATCAGAGTCGAAGGCACTCTGGTCCGCCATATGTTACGACAGTTTTTGCGCAATGTACGTACACTCAAAGTACAAACACAAAGGGATTTTCTATCGCCACTTTTCATCACATGTCATCAAGAAAGTTCAACGACAGAGTTTTGCAGATCATTTCCTGTTCGCCAATATCCCACGTTTGGCTTTGGCTCAGCTTCCTCCCACGTCCTTATATGGCGTTGTCCAGGTGTGTGTGTGGAAGTGCCGCTCTCTGATTGGCCGCGAGCCCCCTGCACCCGGGCTGACCCTGTTCCGCCGGAGGAGATAATTGCTTGTCAGGCATAAATGGAGAGATTAATGAATTCATTAGCGGCGGCGAGTTTAGCTTTTCACGGCAGCACTTACGCCTATGACACATCACGCCTATTGTTTTACTTGCTAGTTAGTCGCCAACAATAACATTCACACAGCAAATTGCCTCATACGCCGCGTTCGGAGTGGCGTCCTTATCCCGCGCTTTGCCGAATACCCCGAACAAAAAAGCGCCTGAAATTTCCCGATTCTTCATCTTAATTACCTTTGTTAGGGAGCTAGGTGTGCTTGAGGAAGAGGAGACAGCACACATTAATCCACATTAGCAGAGCCAGAGCGCAGAAGTGTGTGTGTGTGTGTGTGTGTGTGTACGTGTTTGTGTGTGTGTCGCTCCACTTAATTAGCAAACAAGCAAATGGCCTCTGAGTAAAGAGCAATGCACAAAAACAGCTGAAAGTGTGAAGTTATGTAGAGAACACAGGCCAGCAGATACAGCCAAAAAATGCACATGTCCAGACAAAAGTGTTTTGTGTTGGATGAATTACAATTTGCATTTAATTCAACATTTATTATTTCCATCAGGTGTCCACAACAACATACTAAAAAGTCAGAAGAAATCCTGGCTGGGCAAATCATTTTAATTTATATCATTGAAGCTAGATATTTTTCATATTTGCTTCTTTGTTCTTTTTGGTTATTTTTAGTAGAGAGTAATTGTTCATTTATCTTGTGCTGTGTGCTCCTCATTCCAACACTGACATTTCCCCTCTGTGGGACAAACAAAGGATCTCTTAATCTTAAAGTTATGGGCCAAGACTGATTGGACTGAATGTGCTCAATGTTGCTCTTCATCCCAATCACAATGAAACTTATCGCACTGGAAGTATTCATTAAAGGTTTATTTTATATTATTACTAATGTGAATATGCAAATGAGCTCAATACTAATGAAATATGTGTTGCTCGTATGTATAGTAAAATAGATGATCAAATAAACTTTACTTTTATGGATCAGTGTGTTAAATGTATTTGTGAAGTAAAACAGTCATCCTTCAGGTGTAGCTGTTCGGCCGTATCAGCAAACATCTTGAATTTATCTAACTATGATTTCTCAGGACTTTTAGTACATTAGCTCTGGAATGTTCATCGTCTCTCTGAAAAGACAGAGGCCAGAGATATCAAACATGTAGGAATCAAACACATTTTGGTCAGGGGCAGAGAAAAAAATGTAGAAATGGGTCGGGGAGTTTCTATTCTATCTATTATTTTCTGGATTTTCTGGTTGATTTTTTGAGAACAAAATGTGTTTGTTTAGATTTAACAAAAATTGGACAAAACAAAAAGTTAAACACACTCAATTACCCTAAATTTTGAACTAAATAGATGTATAACATGCCATGCTTTTCCATCAATGGTTCAAGTTAATAATAACAATAATAATAATAATTGAAAATTATTTTAGGGGCCACTAACAATTGTTTTGCAGGGTTGGATTTGGCACATGAGCCTGAGTTTGAAATGCCAGACATAGACTGTATACGTATATATTGCTAACCCCCTAGCCGAGCTCAACGAAGCTAAATAAAGAATAAGGAATGGACAAAGGTTTGCTCCAGTTCACAATAGACTTTCTAGAGAGGAAAAACAGATTTGTGTGTGCCCCAGTTTAAAAGTGCTTTATCAATCTGTCAGTCTGGTCACCGTGACAACTGGCATGTTCCCAATGTGTTAACGCCTTTTCTCACCTATCCCTGAGAGCATGGACATTCAACTCTCAGCCTGGGGCCAAATCAATACCGCCAAGCAATCTGATCCAGACCAGTGCCCCTCTGGAATATGGACATTATTTATCTTACACCTGGTCAGCGTTAATCATGTTTTTATCTGGTTAGTAGAACACTCTAGAACACAGAAGCTCTGGCAATGAATGTTTGGCCCTCTGGAAAATTAAGTGGAATCGCTGCCACAGGACACCAATCAATTCCATTTTTAATTAAAAGTTGAATGCTTACAGTGGGTCAATCTCAACAGAGAAATAGCCTAAACAAGCAGGTGGCAGTTGACCCAACTGTAGCAAAACAGTATAAAAGAGACTTGATCAAACGTTCCACATGTGCATGTTGGGTTGTGCTTGTGTCAAGTGTGTGTGTGCGTGTTGGGTTGAATGAGTGAGAGGGGTTGGAATCAAATGAAGCTAAAGCGGGATTCAGAATGGAAGACAGGAGAACAAAGCTCATAGCACTCAACCTCCTCCCACTGTTGCTCACAGCAGCAGTCATTCAATCACACTCAGGCCCCGTTTAGACAGAGACGCTGTGGAGACGCTGCAAAGCAATTAGCCAAGAACGACCAAGCTCCTACACAGCGTTTAGACGGTGTACAATGTACAGTAGTTCTAGCGTCCGGACAGTGGGGAGCAGTGGAACGTTACAGCAAGACACGCGTGACCCCCAGAAGTATAATCACTTCCTCAACATCCTCCTCAGGCTGCCATAAAGACGTGAAAGAATGCACCATTATTCTTCTGCATTTAACAGCAGCTGCGAAAATGGAAACTGAAACTATAGCTTTGCGTAGTTTCATTTGGACGGACGAAAGGGTGAAATTCTCCTCTGTGTAGCGCTCGAAGGACACAACTGAGGGAATTTATATTTTTATCTTTCTTTTTAATGTTCTGTGATTATTTATGATTTTAATGCTTTGTTTTGTTCAGCACTTTGAGTTGCCTTGTGTATGAATTGTGCTATACAAATAAACTTGCCTTGCCTAGATAGTTAACGTTAAAGTTTTTGTCCAGGACTCCCTTGTAAAAGAGGTTCTTAATCTCATTGAGACTTTCCTGGGTAAATAAAGGTGAAATAGAAGTAAAAATAATGTACCGCCACCATTGTTGTTTATGTTTGTTCAAGCGGCTGTGAAACAGCCCCCGCTGCGCATCGTCTGTTCTGTTCCACTCTGGAGGTCGTTTCTCAACGCTTGCGTTTTCATCCCCCTGAAACACCGTCTCCATGTAAACTGAAGGCCAATCCGATACCCAACTCTAACGTTTTACTGTTGTAGCGTCCTTGTGTAAATAGCACATCATATCGTGCAGAGGCCCCCATCCAAGCAGCAGCTTCACTCAAGCCACAAC